GCCCGAATGTATCTTAATATTTTCTGTAATTGAACCCCTCCATCTGACTGCCACAGTCGCCTGTTCGTAGTAATTTCTAATTGCATGTATAAATTGATAGCTCACGCCCAGATTGGTTAATTTCTTCCAGAGTAATGAGTGAGGAACTGTGTCAAATGCTTTTCTCAAATCAACAAAAAATACATATAATTTTCCTCTCTTTTTCCTCAGTGAAAGTTGTATTAGAGAGGTCAATGTGAATATCAGGTCCACACACGATCGTCCCCTTCGGAAACCCGCCTGATTTTCTGGAATGACGTTTCTTCTTTCTACCCATTCATTCAGTCTTGATCTTAGTATTGTTGTAAAAAGTTTCGAAAAATTACTTATCAGTGCTATACCACGGTAATTTGAAGGGTTATCTTTGTCACCGCTTTTAAAGATTGGATGTATGATCGATTTAGTCCATATTGTAGGATAGTGTCCCATTATCAGAGCTCTATTGTAAAATTGTTCTAATAAACCCATGTATGAGTCTGGGAGTATTTTTATTATTTCATTGGGGATGTCATCAGGTCCACTTGCCTTGTTATTCTTCAAATCTCTGATTGCCCTGCCTATCTCTTCAGAAGTTATCTCTGGATCAAGTATTGGGTCGCTCGGCGAGATCCTCACTTCTATATTACAGATCTTCTCTTTTTCCTCAATACTCATTAATTCGCAATAAAATTCGTGCCATTCCTGTACAGTAATTTCTCCTTGAATTTTTGTTGCTCCTTTAAATAGCGCAATGGTCTTCCAAAAGGACTTTGAATCTTTAATATTTCTCAATATTTCTTGTTTTTCCTGAATATATTTCCTTCTTTTATCATCTAATAAACCGAGATATTTCTTTCTATGGAGAGCATAGCTTTCAAGGTCTTCCTTCCTGTTGGTTCTACGGAATTCCTTCAGACTTTCTTTTGTTAGCTTTTTCATATCGTAACAGTTTTTGTCAAACCATGGCTTAGATTTTCCGGTGGTACCCTTAGTTGAGTACATTATTCCTGATGTTGACATTGCCTCGGTAATTCTTTGAGTGAAAGTATTTACGGAGCTATCGAGATTTGATATTTTTACTACTTGCAATTCCTTTAATTCCTGTTTAAATGTCTTAAATCCCCCAGCTGTCCATCTGTATCTCGTAACACCATATTCTTCTCCCTTAGATTTGTTTTCATAGGTGTTTTGGACTGTTAACTTCAGGATAAGAGGAAGGTGATCTGAGTACATCTGGGTTTCTATCCTGAAGTCTAATATTTTTTCCAGTATTCCTTGGGAAACTATGCAGTAATCAATAGTTGATGAGCCTCTCTCCGAAACATATGTAAAGTCGCCCTCTCTGTCTCCTGTTGATCGTCCGTTGATTATTGTCAGCGAATTGTCCTCGAGAAACTCAAGGAGTCCTTCAGCCAGTGGTGAAATTACTAGATCTCTTGCTTTTCTTTCGGAAACTAAAGAGAGTTGAAGATTTGTTGGATTATACAGTCCCCCGAGCCCTCCAGTTCTAATATTTAAATCCCCAATCAGAATTAGTTCTTTCCCGTCTGTTATCTGTTTTTCCATATATTTAGTTAATCTAACTAAGTTGTTCTGGTACAGTTCGTTTGGAGGGAGATATACAAATATCAAGCAGGTGGTGGGTTTGTCGGTTCCTATGTTTTGTGATAAAAAAATCGATATCCAGATGTTATCCTTTTCTGTACTGTGCAACCTGTAATGCCCCCCTTTTTTGACGCCCACAATTATTCCTCCTGATCCCCTTCCCCTTCCCGTGGTCTTAGTTGCCGGCTGTTCAAAAATTTGGAAATCCTCTAATGTTATATTTGTGAGGTTTGAACACCATGTTTCAAGTATAGCGAAAATCTCGTAATTTTTAATGTACTCGAGAAGTGGAAAAACAGAGAGCATCCTAAAAAGTCCATTTATATTCCAGCATATTATTGTGTCTACCGTAACTTTTGGATTTTTAATGCTAATAGTCTTAAAACTTTTTTGTGGATCTTTATTTATATGTATTTTATTTTGTATAAAGAATCCATTTATATTCCAGTAAGTAATTCCAGAAGGCTTGCCATTTGTTGTTAAAGAACTTTTATTTGAAAGAACTAAGTGTTTATCCTGCAGCAATTGGTTGGGCCGTGATTCAGTAAGTTCGCTATCGGTGGGTTGCTATATTACGTCTCCGCTGGCGCTAACAACGCGGCCATTAGAAGCATAATAGTTTATGCCACGGACAATTAACTTATTATCTCTCAACTTGGAGACAATTCCCCTAGAAAAAAGCTCTTTTCGTTTATTAATCAGTATTTTCCTTTGCTCTCTAACAGTGGCAGGGTAATCTTTGTTCAAGAATATCTTTTTATCCCTGAGTTTGAATGCGTTTCTAAGTAACAGAATTCGTTGTTTGTAGTCAGGCACTTCAATAAGGAGCGGTGAATTAGCTTTTCTTGATAATCTTCGGCATTGCTCTAACCCAATCTCCTCGGAAATCTGCATTGAACTCGAAATCAGATTGAGAACACGGGAGCGAGATTCGTCCGGGGTTTCATTTTCAGCTCCTTCGAATCCGTAAAAAATTAGGTTTCTTTCCCGCTGCTTCATCTCACAATGCTCCAGCCGTCCCTCAAGATCAGCTATTCTTTTTGAGTTGTCCGACGCAACCTTTGATGTGGTTTCGAGGGAAGTCTCAAGCTGTTGTAGACGCTGATTAATTTTCTCTAATCCCTGTTCCACTGAGGCAAATCTAGTCTCGATTTTTTGTCCCCAGTGATCCATTTTGGCTGAAAGCGCTGTGATTAAACCACCTATATCTTTATCTTTATCCAATTCTAAAGTTGTTTGTTTTGTATATCTTGGGCCTGGATTTGACTCAATACCTGCCATAAGTAATAGCATTATTATAATACATCTACGGTTGCTTTTTCCAACATAAACAAATGAGTTTGCCTTTGAGTACTTTGCATAGCAAGTTACAGTTTTGCTGCTTAAATTTACATATTTAGCAATTAGAGAATTTTCTTTGGAAAAAATAAACAAGTTGAATATGGCTATTAATAAAATGAGCTTCATGATTCTCATAGAATATAAATAGTAGATTGCCTATCAGGTATTACTAAGAAAGCAACAAAAGGAAAGAAATAGAGTTAAATAATAATTTCAAAAAATACTTATCGGGAGACGAAGAATTCTGCGTCCGCTCTACTTGGCCACCTGGCGGCGAATCCATGTCCCTTGAATTAAACATTACGAAACTGATTCTAAAGTTCTGGATACGGATTTTAAAAAAATGGACAGGACAAGATTACCCTACGTTTGCTTGTCCCAGCTCTGGAAAGTTTCAATTGTGGGAAAAGCGGGACACAACTTTATTTATAACCTGAATAGCATCATTGACTCTAGGGGTTTTTCTTTTCTTAAGAACTGTGAAGATTATATGGTTGTGCGAGGAGAAATGCCTAGAATTATTCAAACCACAGTGGACCAGCTACTCCAATTTGACCGAGCTAAGATACAAAACTCAACTCATTTTATTCACCATCAATCTCTAAGTAGCTCCTTCATGACGGAGGACTACTTACTATCAAACCTCCCTTTGAAAATTAAACGATTTATAGCCCGTAAAAGGATTCTATGGCTACTTTTCCGCGAGGATATCACGGGGTTTTGGAACAGCGACCCTTTAAATTGCTACTTCTGCAATGTTGGAATCCAAGACAATTTGGTCCACTATCTATTCCATTGCCCATTCCTACATGAAAAGAGACTGGAAATTCGCGAAATTTCGGGGCCAACTCACTACAATGAGCAAAATGTATATAAAATCTTTACAACTCTCCTGCTTGATAAAACATTTGTTTATAAATATTTAAAATTTTTAAAGATGATTGATAAAATGAGAGAAGAAGTGCTCAACTCCACAGACAACGGCTGATTGCTCCCCCTCCCCTCTAAATTGCTTTTCCTCCTCACTCATGTACATATATAACCTTTTAGGGGAATCCCTTTGTAAGACAATAGTGTCTTAATAAAGGTTTTTGTTGTTGTTGTTGTATAGATAACTAGTACAGTAGCACAACACTAACTGTGCTTGTCAGAACTTATGTAGTTGCAAAGATGAGCCAGTTTACCATTAAGTCTTATGCTTATAGAGGGCATGGGAGAAGTTGCCTTTTAAACGCCTACTATAATATTTTTATTAGTATACACATATAATAGGTTTTAACCGGCCATTTCTTTTGGAGCTAAGTCGGCTTGCCACTGAGTAGTGCTCCCAGTCTTAATGGCAAAGGCAGACGCATTCTACTTCACCCAGTCATGATGGTTGTCAAACAGACACCATCAAGGGTCACAACTTGATATCCTAATTTGATTGAGTGGAGATAAGAAATAAGAGAAAAGAAGATAGGCTTTAACTAAAAAGGCATTTATTGGATCAAAATATTATTTATTTTATAATACAATATAATGCGGATTATGATTGTAGAACGAAGTTTGACAATTATACGGCAAATGTTTCTTTTGAACGAAAAATCGAAATTTATTTTAAGGTGAAATAAATTTCGATTTTTCATTCAAAAGAAACATTTGCGGTATATTTGCCAAACTTCTTTCTATTATTTATTTTACCAATATTTCAATTGGATGCGGTATATCAGAAGTATCATTGTATTTGTACAGACGAATGTTTTACACAAGAACTCTTGAAGATATGAGGAAGAGTAAATTCTAAGCATACATTCTTTAAAACAGCTAGAAAAATGAATTCAAGATTTGCGGGGCATTTTTATAACATCTTCTTGTGTGAGAGGGGGTGAACCTACTTAATTATAAAACGACATTTGAAAACTATCCTGCATGTGTTTCTTTTCAACGAAAAATCAAAATTTACTTCAAGGAGAAATAACGACTATTTCCAACCTTTGGGATGAGGTATGAAAGGGTGAATTGTGAAGAGCAATGATAAACGGAAAAATAAAAGTGTCCAGGGATGGGAATCGAACCCACACTGTTCCGCTTACCGGGCAGATGCCATGTCCACTAGGCTACCCTGGACATATTTTTCCGTTCGTAAATAATATATACATAAAGTAATTTATAATACAATATAATATAATGCGGCTTGTGATTGTGAATAATTTTAAAATGTCGTTTTACAATCACAAGCCGCATTATATTATATTCTACTTAATTATATTAAACAATCACAGAATGAAGTGTGATTCCAGAAAGAACAACCTTGCCCAAACAAAATTGACAACATAGAACAATATCCGACCAGGAGTTATTGTGAAAACGACTGATGACAATCAAGATGACACTTATAATGGTATTGTAAGTGTTAGGCATACAACATTTGCATGACATCAGATATTTACCTTCTGTTTAATATGTCTAAAATAGCAGTAAGGATGAAATAAATTAACACAAAGCAATAACGCGCCATCTATACATATAAAATGAAAGAATTTAAAAGCACGAATGTTTCTTTTATACATAATACAAACTTCTACTGCCCTTACTGCGATGGAAAAATATGTATTGGGAGGGCTTGGCTCATCAGTGGTGAACCCTCCCAGCGGTTTCGCCAATTTAATCCACCAGACCGCTTCTCAGAGCTCTAATACTGTATTGGACGAATCTGCTTATATACGCAGCACTGAAAAGTGGAATCTCAGAAATGGTTTTCAAGAAAACTATGGACATAAGCTTATAGGACAGTAGAATTACATTCAATTCATTACTGTCCTATAAGCTTATGTCCATAGTTTTCTTGAAAACCATTTCTGAGATTCCACTTTTCAGTGCTGCGTATATAAGCAGAATCGTCCAATACAGTATTAGAGCTCTGAGAAGCGGTCTGGTGGATTAAATTGGCGAAACCGCTGGGAGGGTTCACCACTGATGAGCCAAGCCCTCCCAATACATATTTTTCCATCGCAGTAAGGGCAGTAGAAGTTTGTATTATGTATAAAAGAAACATTCGTGCTTTTAAATTCTTTCATTTTATATGAAATAAATTGTTGTAAAAATTCTTATTATTCTAAAATTGTAATTTTTTAAATAATGGTACGTATTTAATATTGTAAGGTAATTAATTGGACAAAATAACTTCATCGATAAGATAGAATATTTATGAATATAAAGATCAAAATCTGCAGGGAAGGCTAATCACAATTATTTACCAAAACAAAATATGCAACAACAAAAAGGCTTTTATTAGGGCCCATTGCCCTGTATGGATTCGCCATACAACAACAAAATAATGCAGCGATTTTTTTTCTCCCTTTCCCCTTGTGCACGTGAGCCTTTGTTTGAAAAGGGATTTATTTACACATCTGTTCTAAAACTTTCCTCACTACCTCTTTTGTGTATGAGTCTATTTACAATTGATCTGTAGAAATTATAGAGTTCTATTGCTATATTTTTCTTTTCTGAAATAGTTCTCAGCGTCTTCAGTGGGTTGCTAAATCGCCAGAAGGTGTTTTTAAGAGTTTTTTTTCTCTTTCTTCACCTAAATATTTGCATTCTATGATATAGTGAGAGGTTTCATCAGATATCAAATTTCCACAAATCCTGCAGTGAATGATTTCCTTTTTGATGATGAGAATATGATTTTCTCTATCTAGAGTTGAAGTAATTCTAGTCCGTGCAATGAAGGCTATTATCTTCGATGACAGATTCCATGACAAGTATCGTTCTGGCATAAATGAATTACAGAGAAGTTTATAGTTTGAAAAATTTTTCGAATTGTCGAGTCTAGCGAAGTCTTGTTGAATAAGCTAAACAAAATATACAAGAGTTCTTTTTTTCCTCGCGCACGCGATGACAAAATTAAATATTACAATATTTTTATAGGTTGTGAGTTAAATATAACGAATGTCTCATGCTGCTTGAGTTTCTCTCTTAAATTAAGCGAATTCATTCTCCATGTACAGCCTGTACTCCATGTTTGGAAAGCTTATTTTCGAGGAGGACGGAGGAATATATGTGCATAGAGAAGTGGCCAAGGTTGCAGCATCCCAAACCTGTACATCTGGCTGTTGTTCCATTCAAGTCACGTCGTCTTTAATGGAGAAGTAGGATGGATTTTGGATGGTTGCCAACACTACCAGTCTAGTCCAAGTTACAGGAAGATATTTATAAGATCATCTTCTATTGTTTTAACAGCCAGTTGACCCGGAGTCATATTTAAAATTAGATTTGTAAATGTTTCACTGGTTCTTCATTCTTGTATCATACCAACTACAGCGAGTATATCAGTAATCAAAATGGAATCAAAAGTCGCTTCACATGTGTAGACATTTTGAAAATAGAGAAATCCATAAATAGATCTTTAATTCATCTTTTTTTTCTCCCCATTGTGTGTATGAGAGAGAATATACAGTTAAACCTGTCTATAGCGCCCCTTTTTGGGACTCACCAAAATAGGGTGTTATAGAGAGGGGGTGCTATAGACAGGTCACTTTTAATGTAAAATGTTTACATTTTAATGTTTAAAATCGGGCGCTATAGAGAGAAAGGCGCTATTTAGAGGGGGCGCTATAGACAGGTTCAACTGTATATATATATACGCAAAAATATTTTTTCAACTTAATTCTATTGACGTTATTTGGCGCTGAGTTTGTTGTTGACACATTAATATGTTTTATAACACGAATAAAATCATAAAGGATGAGTTTCTTTATTGGTAAAAAACATTAATATGTTATAATACCTTGATAAAGGTTGGCGTTCAGCCACACTAAATATTGGTAAATAAATTGTATTTTTATGCCTTTTTAATTAAATGTATATACATGTGGTGACTTTATAATAAAATCATTTGCAAACTACTAATCAGGATTAGCATCAATGCGCCTGCACCAGTAGTATATGTAATATTATTGCAAATGTGCCGACGTATGGATAAGCTGGCAGTCGTGTACGTTAGGCGAGTGTTGATGTTCTTCCCACACGCGGACAACAAGAAGCAGAGGCAGGGCTAGATGTTAGCACCGAAAGTGATCGGGGACAGCCCACAAAACAGAGGTAGAGGCCATGACACGAACTTGGATGCTTATCACCGAGACATGGAGAGAGAGACTGTGTGCGTGACAGACAGAAGCCGTATATCGATGGCCACCTCCTAGACCCATCTGCTGCTGACCCCCGCCAAAACCTGTCCTGTTTTTCAGGGGTCGTCTATAAAGAGTCCCTGTGGGCCCCACATGGGCTGGGTGTTGGCTTTTTTCCTCTCCTCTGTCCCTGCCACCAGCTGACCGAACACTCTTTGGATCTTTATTTTTGACGTCTCCATTTTTAGTTTTAAATACAAATAGGGGGTTAAAATACAAATAGTTTATATAAAAAATATGGGGGTGATAGCAAATAGAAACAGTGTACATTTTAATAGAAGGTAGGATATTTCAAGGCATCGGCTCTAACTAATTGGGAGATATGTGACATATACTAAAAGTGTCATTATTATACAGTTTAAAATATACGATATATACTTCTTTATAAAATATAAATCACACAAGATTATTGTTTAAAATTTATATTATATTTTTTACTATTTGCTTAATGTTAACTTTTCGACTTTAAATAGTATATATACAATCTATATGAGATTCGTATAGTATTTCGGTGGAGCACAAATCTCTTAAATCTTTCAAAAATTGCCTTTGAATGAAATAAATAATCACACAAAAAAATAGAATGGTTACTATGGCTTCCTACCTGAGTATTTCATTAACCTAACAAGTAAGGACAGACGACCAAAAGGAGCAATGACGCCATAAAATACAAATTTGGTCAATTATTTTCACATATCTTATATTAAACTATTAAAAATAAAAAAAGGCATATCCTGACCAGGAGCACATGTGCTTTACAGAAGGCAGAGCGCCATCTGGTGGAACAGAAATCAACTATTCATTGATTTAACCTGTTCCTTGATATTTGGCCAACCCAATTTCTTGATAAATCAAGAAAAGCCATCAACGAACGCGTTTCGCGCTCGTCAGTTTGGAGTAGGCTGTACCACCTTATTAAAGAGGTTTCTGGAGATGAGTTTCTTTTTTATTTTATTAACCTAGTCTCAAGCTTTCTCTGCCCTTCTACTGGAGAACATACATGAAACGACGGCCGATGCCAAATTATTACAAATCTATATTGTTACACCATGATTAATGGCGTATTTATTATATTATTTTTAATATATTTGAAATTTAAATTATATATTAATTTATTTTTATATAAAATATTCTATGATATTTATTTAAAACAGATTATTTAGATTATCATCATTTGTATTTAGGTACACGTGTGACTTCACTGCTCTCTTTGATGTGAGAAAATAAATAAATGATTCTGGAGGCTACTTAAAGTAGACTTATCTCATTATTCCCTTATATAAATTTGTAGGATGGTTGAAACACGCTCTGGTAAGATGCAAGACCCAGCACAGGAGAGAATCAAGGCTGAAGAGTCTGCCAAGCCGCAACCCGGCGCAACAATTGGTGTAGATGCTAGTTCCGACCCAGTTGTCCTGAATCCCAACATCGACATCCCCAAGTATGATGGAACGGAAGACCCTCGCCCATGGATTGAATCTCTTGAAGAAATTGGCTTCCTGTACCATTGGGCAGACTACATTATCTCTCGTTATGCTGCCATGAATATGAATGGTAGCGCCAAAACCTGGCTGAACCTACACAAGATAAGTTTCACCAGCTGGGAAAATTTCAAGAGCCGCCTAATTGAGGATTTTGCCTCAGACGCCAACAAAGAAGAAATGAAGATGAGACTAAACAGGATGCAACAGTAAAATGAACCTGCAATCAGGTTCGCAGAGGATATCCTTGTACTGTGCAACAAGGTCGACCCCCAAATGGAAGAAGAGACTAAAATAAACTGGGTTATTGGAGGGTTAAAGAAAGAATACTCTTTTGCCCTTCACCTTAACCCTCCTAAAAATACCAATGAACTTCTAGAAATTTGTAAAAAGCTGGATTTGTTCGAAAAGAATTACCAAGAACGTGCAGAAAAATCAAGAGCTCTATATATTGGAC